GGTTTACGCAATACATGTATACTCGAGGAAGCGTGAAAAAAGAAGGGGTGGTGGGGGGGTGGGGGGTGGACCGGGGGAAGGGAGAGTACGCACGTGGAATTAATTAAAAATCTAATCGCTTTTGATCAGAGATGAAGAATTTCCTTGTTGTTCCGAGTTATGTAATACACACACACACACACACACACACATACACACACACACACACACACACACACATACACACACACACACACACACACACACACACACACACACACACACACACACACACACACACACATACACACACACACACACACACACACACACACACACACACACACACACACACACACACACACACACACATCATTATCATATATATATATATATATATATATATATATATATATATATATATATATATATATATATATATATGATTATAGATGATTATGGTAATAATAATAATGATAACGATATTAACAATAGTGATACTGATAATGATAATAATGATAATAATAATATAATAATAATAATAATAATAATAATAATAATAATATTAATGATAATAACAATAGTGATAATGATAACAATAATAATTGTAATAATGATAACAACGATAATAACAATAATAATGATAGTGATGATGATAATAATAATGATGATGTTATTAAATATAACAATAGTAGCGATAAAGATAATAATGATATTTTTTATTGTAAAACTGATGATAATAATGCTAAAAAATAAAACATAATAATAATAATAATAACAATAATGATAATAATAATAATAATGATAGTAATAATAATAATAATGATAATAATAATAATGATAATAATAATAATAATAATGATGATAATGATAATAATAACAATAATAATAATAATAATGATAATAATAATAATAATAATAATAATAATAATAATAATAATAATAATAATAATAATAATAATAATAATAATAACGATAATAATAAAGATAACAATGATGATAATAATGACAATAATGACAATATTGATAATAATAGTAGTGATAATGGCAATAATGACAGAATGATTATCCTGATAATAACAATGATGATAAAAATACTATTACTAATAACAATGATAATCACTGATAATGATAATGATAACAATAAAAACAATCATGACAACAACAACAACAGTAATGAAAATAAGGATAATAATACTAACAGCAGTAAGACCGATAATTGCAGTACTACTAATAATAGTAATATTGATAACAATAATAATAATGATAATGATACAAAGAAGCATAATTATAATAATGATAATGATACAAAGAGGCATAATTATAATAATGATAATGATACAAAGAAACATAATTATATTAATGATACAAAGAAGCATAATTATAATAGTGATAATGATACAAAGAAGCATAATTATAATGATGATAATGATACAAAGAGGCATAATTATAACAATGATAATTACATAATCAAAGCATAAAGGATTCCTAGAAAGACGAATCGTGCGCTGGAAAGAAATCAAGGCCATTTGATACATCAACTTATAATTAGATTATACGGTAGTGAGTTCGGATCAAAAGTGTAAATGATATTTTTGTTAGCGTCAGCTCGGGAAAATTTATACAAAAAGTTAAATAATATTTAGCCAAAAAAAAAAAAAAAAAAAAAAGTGGCAGAGTTGAATAAAAAGCGCTGTAAGCTGCCCCCTTTTTTTCGCTCTGGTCACATAAATCTCTACTCTTTTTATATCAGTTTATTATTATGCTGCTGGATATTTCCCCGCAGATATTGACAGGCTGTCGGATGTCAATTGAAACTGTGGAGAGATCTAACTTAAAGCAATAAGACACGTGCGCTGGAATAGAATCTCGCGAATGCAGGCGGGTGCAGGTGTAAGGGTGTATGAGTTTATGTATGTACTCCCACCCTTTCGTATGTGTGTGTGTGTGTGTGTGTGTGTGTGTGTGTGTGTGTGTATGTATACGTATATATAAATAAATATGTACACACACACACACACACACACACACAGTGCAGATAGGTAGAGAGAGAGTGTAAATGTGTGATATAAATTAATACAAATTGACTGATAGATAGTTAAAGAGAGTGACGATGCACTGATAGATGAATATAGACATCTAGTAAACAAGATAGGATGCGGTAAAAGACAGAAAACTCTGTAAAAAAAAACAAAAAAAAACAGATGCAAATATACAGATAGAAGTGTATACCAAATAGATCAATAAAGACAGAGACAGAAATGAAAAAGAAGAGTGAGAGAGACGGCGAGGGAAAGCGGAGTAAGAAAGAGGTTTTAGTGCAATTTCAAGTTAAACTGCTCAGAAATCAGAGCCCTGGAAAATTGTTCCTTGGTATCAACATCGAGATGTTTTATTTTACACAACAGAACAAAATATTAGAGACGCGCTGGAAGGCCTTTCAATTTGCTCCCCGCGTGCGTGTTTATATATAGCGTCTCTTGTTTTTTTTTGTCTTTTTTTTAGTGGGTTTTACATGTGTATGTATTACATACACAGACTGATGCATAGAGAGTACAACCATAGAAAAAAATGCATATACACATGTACACACACGCAGGTATAGACATCCACACACGCGCAAACACAGTCACTGACACAGACACACGTACACACACGGACAGTCAGTCACACACACACATAAACACACAAATCTACACAGTTGCAAAAACGGAGACTATCTAGGCAGAAATCAAAATGGAAGTATATAAAATTG